CTTTAGATTTCCCCAAATAGTAACCAACAATTGTTTAATATCATGCATTGGATTTACACTAAACTTCAAGCTTTACACAATTTCAACTTTATTTATTCCCTTAATTGTAGCAAATTCTCACTTGTCTATAGGCAACTTTTATTTCTTATTTGGCTTTTCTGTTTTCAGTTTGTCTTCAGTTGTCTAATTGTTGTACTTGGGGAAATAACATTTTCCCTGATGTGCTTCCACTATTGCAATAGACTGTGCTTTTTTAAAATTGGAATTCCATTATATAAGAAGGAGGCAGAATCCTTAGCTTTCTTATTTTGCTTTTCTTTCCCTTACTTATTGATGCTGTAGGCTGTCTGTCATGTGTCGCACAAAAGTTCACAGATGTATCAGACTGAGGGCATCACGTCTGCATCACATCTGTGTGTTTCTCATTGGCCTTGTTCATTTTGGTCACCTTTTTAACATCTCATTTTTCATAAAAACATAAAATCACTTTTTTTCCCAGTGCAACTAATAGTCTGTGGGGAGACTAAAAATTATCTGAATACACTGCTCATTAAAATTTCCTCTGAGATTTAGCATCCACCTATAATTATTGCCTGAGCTAGTCATGACTACAAGATGTCTTTTCCAACTTCAGCCTACAATTCTGTCTTAGTTTTCTTGTTGCTGAGACAAAATACCTGACACCCAAAGTTAAAGGAGGAAAGGTTTATTTTAGCTCAGTTTGTAGAGGTTTCAATTCATAATCGACCAACTCCAAGGCAGGGTGATTTTGCAGAGGTACATTGCAGAGGAAAAACAGTTCATGGCAGGCAGAAGCAGCAAGCGGCAAGTGACCACAGCAGTCCTGTCTTTTATATCCTGTCCAGGCTGCCCAACCTCAATCCTAGCATTGCAACCTGAATCAATCCCAACACCACATTGTTGATCCCAGCAGCACACATCCTACATTCAGCCGCCTCCAAAATGCTCTCTGCTATGTTCACAAGAGATTGAGGAAGACATCTAGATATAAGCCATAGCACCTCTATATTTAACAGCCAACATTTTAATATGAGGTCCCTCACACCCTATTATTTACTAACAGTATATACTGACAAATTTTTATTTTTACATAGTCTATAATTCATTATTGTCTTTATAATTATTAAATGCTCAAAGTGTCCCAGCTTTGGCTTATTCTCAATTTAGTTTTATTCCATATCATATACAACAATATTCCTAAACTGTTTTGTGAAAATGTAATACAGGGGCTGGGGATTTAGCTCAGTGGCATAAGCACCTGCCTTGCAAGCAGGCAGTCGTGAGTTCGATCCCTGGTACCAATAAAAAATGAAAAAGACAAAAAAAAAATGTAATACAAATCTAGTAAAGTTTGTTAAAATGCAGATTCTGACTGTATGTCTGGGTGAATTGTGAAATGTTTATTTCTGACAAGTTCCCAGGATTTTGGATCTCCTTGGTTTGAGGACCATACTTTGAATACTGAATCAGTGGAAATATATTTAAAAGTAAACACTATTTCTACAGAGCAAAAAGTAAAAACTTAACTGTTATGTTCATTCATCTGTTACATGATCTAAGACTGCTAATTTATATAAATGTACATTATGTACACTTAGATCCTTAAAGTATAAAAACGCTACATATCATGGCTTTGTAATTAAGGAATTTTTGTCTCATGTGACACTTATCAATTGTTAAGTGTCAACAGGTCTGATGCTTTTAAGTTGTAAGGGCTTTGTGCTACTTTTGGGATTAAATTTCTTGTAATTTATGGTATGTACAAGAAGATATCATGTTACAGTTTTTATAATAAAAAGGACAGGAGTGCAGGACAGGAGATGAAATCTCCACTTCCTTCCTGGAAGGGGCAAGCTCTTTTTAACTGTAGTGCACAGGCTGGTGTCTGGTGTGTGCAATAGCAAGCATTCTTTAAATTAAAGGAGTAAGTGAATAAAACCATCTATCTACTTTTCTGGTTCTGAATTTTAAAAACAGTAGGATTTGTATAGAGGTGGTGTATTTTGGCAGTGAGTGTTTATTAGTATGATACTAGCTTGATGAGCCCTGTACATAGCTTAGACTTACTACTTTTACCTGCTTCCTATTGGAGATGGAACAATACGAAATAATTGGTAGTTTTTAAGACAAATTTCAAGATAAAAATATTCTTAACTGATATACTTTCCAGTACCCTCTGATTTTAAAACGATCCAGTAGTCTTTAACAGAACAGATTTCGCTGGAAACACGTAAACACTGGGGACTGCCAGGCTGTGCAAATGTGTGTTACCAACAGAGCCAGTGAAGAAGGATTCCCTGGCTTTCACCACTCCACATTCCCCAGAGAGTTGATGGGTTTATCTCCCATACAAATAAGGAAACTAGGGCTGTTGATCCAGCTGCTAGTAGCAATAAGGCCTTCCCTCACCCTAGGCCTCAAAACTCAGCTGTTGGCACAGTAGAGACCTCCAGACTAGAGACCGTTTCCTTTTCGTAGTTTTGCTCATAATGTTCCTGGAACAGCCATTTAACTCCTGTGCTTCTGGATTTTGTCATTAAGAAGGAAAATTACCCCTACCCCAGCTCACTGAAGAGCTGCAGAGGAAGTGGGGCTGTGCATACATTGAAACACTTGGTTCCTTGGGACAGAAGTTGCAACTGAAGTCAAAGTGATATTCTCGTTTGCTGCTTTCTTTCCTGTTTGCTGTGTAAAATCTGGCCAGTAGAAAAATCTGTGATGCTATTTTACTTTGATTCTGTTCTACCCTGTCCCAACTAACCACACCCAACCCGACTAACAGAGATGGACCACTGGACCTTTGCACGGAGCTATATCCCCAGCCCTTTTTTACTTTCCTTTATCTCGATTGTTTTTATTTTATTGTTACTTGGTTTTTGGAGACAAGGTCTTGCTTTGTAGTTCATGCTGGCCTTGAATTCACTATGGAACCCAGGCTGTTGTTGAACTTGGCTGATCCTCTTGCCTCAGCCTCTCAAGTACTTGGATTCCAGGTGTGTGCAAACACACCCGCCTTCCCTTTTATATTTTGAGACAGGGTCTTGCTAAGTTACCATTTGCCTCTGCGGGACGTGAACTTTTAGATCCTCCTGCCTCAGGCTTCCAGAGTGTTGGGGTTACAAGCATGTGTTAGCAAGCTCAGCTGTCCTTGGGGTTTTCAAAGTGTTTTTAAAATTTATTTTAAAAAGTTCAATCATAAACTGCATCTTCATGCAAGATGACATTCTCTAGTAATCTGTGCTATTGTTTTTTAAATTCGGTGTTTGCATGTATACTTTACTTTTCATTACTACCTGTTTGCAGTGTTTGCATTCCTTGTGTGGAGTTGGTACACACACATAACACTGATAATTCCTTTTCCTCCCTCCCTATCTCTTCCTTTCCCCTGGCTGCCTGACCTGGCCTCTAGCTTCCGAAAACTGATGAGTTTCTTGAATGTTCAGTTACCAGTGAACTTGTGAAAAGGAAGTTACACCTTGAAGAATTCATAGCTCTCGTTTGGTCACTGTAATTACTCTGGAGTGCTTTCAGTCCTGTGGTCGGTGGGCTCTTGAGTCCTCCCTGAGGTGGGCAGGGAGTGCACAAAATGAGACACAGTCAAAAGGGCGTAGTTTGTAGCAAGCGTGTTTACTCAGACACAGTACAATGCACTCTGCAGGCTCAGTGTTACAGGTCACGTAATAAATACACCCTCAAAGACCGAGAATGGGCACTGCCCAGATACGGCGATGACAGTGAGGCCGGGTCAGGTTATCTCGTTCTGTTTAGAATTTGGGCAGTGGCTAGGATGTGGTAATTAATGCAGCTTCCTTTCCATCAGTTGTGGATCTCCACCCTCTTGTCTGGAGGAGGAGTTTGTGCACCTGGTTGGAACCAGCACAGCAACCTAAATCAGTGCAGTCAAAAGCCCCAATAGAAAATACAAGTAAATGAGACCACCTGGTCAAAGGGTCACCACAACGTTACCAGGGCCCAGTGCCCTAAGGATGTGACTGGGAACAGCAGGTGTAACAGGAGTCAGAGGGGTAATTTGCAAGGGGCATGATTTGCTCTTCCAAGAAGTGCAGGGACCACAAAGTCCAGAAATTTATACCGTGACTGTTCTTAGAACTTTTTCTTACAATCCAGTTTCTCAGATGTATAGGTTATTTCTGGCTGAACACATACTCTGTCATCATATTCTAGTTTAACTGGAGGAAAGAAAAATAATGCCTCAAACTGAACTCTGACTGCCTGTTTTCTTGCAAACGTTTGATTAAAGGGTCAGAGAAAGGTGGACCACCAGGGAGCAGTAAATAAATTCTGCTATCTGGGCCCTAGCATCTGAAGTGTTTCAGTTATTCCTGGTTCAGGCCTGAGTTGGAACACTGAGAAGCTTCACTGGGTGGTTTTATAGCTAAGTTGGAGATGCACTGGCTAGCCTTACTGCACAGCTAGATGCATGTTACAATCGCTGGGGAAGATTTTTGAAGCACCACTATCAACCCCATCGTTGGAAATCCTCATCTAACTTTTCTGTATGGGGACCAGATTTTTTCCTAAGCTCACCAAGTGACTTTATTGTGTATCCAGGATTGAGAACTACTTTAGAGGATGATAGCAATTTATTTGTAGAAAACTGCCATCAATTGACAATTGAATGAATGGAATAGAAAATGTGTCCTGTGTTTTCTTTCTTTTTTCTTTTTGGTATTGGTCATCAAACTCACGATCTCGTGCTTGCCAGGCAGGCACTTATGCAGCTGAGCTAAACCCCTGGACCCTGTTTTCCTGTATGGATATGTTATGCAATTCTCATGAGATCATAGTATACTCTAGGAAACTGCAACTTTCTTGACTTAGTATGTTTGTAAAAACTGTTGTTACCAAATTTGAGGATACTGTGCTGAATTATCTCGAAAGTTTCCTTTACACTCTCTCATTCTGAAATTAGAATTGATTAGAGTCATTGAACAGTACTTGCATCATTTTTCTTATAGAATTTACCATCTGCTGTAGTAACTCACGTTCTACATCCTCAGCCCGGAGAGAGGGTTCTAGATTTGTGTGCAGCACCTGGAGGTAAAGCAACACATATTGCAGCACTGATGCACGATCAGGTGAGTCTGTCTCCCAAGAAAAGTCATCAACATGCTACAGATTTCAGTGGTGAAGGTGGGACTGTGTGTGACTTGGGATCACACTGATATCATAGTCCAATTTACTTCCTGTTCAGCCGGAGTGAGGACTGTTGGGTTATGGCAGGCACTGTAGCTTAAGGTCAGTAGACAGCTGCCACTTATACCTGGGTATGGTGGCACACTGCTGTAATCGCAGACTCAGGAGGCTGAAGCAAGTGGATGACTGTGAATTCAAGGCCAGACTGGTACAAACTCAAAGGCTAAACCAGCCTACACAGTGAGACCTTGTTACAAAAAAAAAAAAAAAAAAAAAACAGAAAAGATAATTGCCACTTATTAAGACTGTCCTGACACTTCTTTTTTGTTTGTTTGTTTTTATACAGTGTCTTCTGTAGTTCAGGCTGGTTTTGAACTCCATAGGTAGCCTAGGTAATTATACACATATGGAGCTAATATATACACAGGTGTGTCTTAAGGATCTTATAAACTTTATGATCTGGTTTAATTTTAAAGCCTGTTTCATGAGCACAGAATTTAAGTAAGCCTGGCTTTTGATAACTTTGATTTCAGTTTTACTTTGTTTGCGTGTGTATTTGCTAAGTTGTTTCCTTTTTTTTTTATAGGCTGGATTTATCTATGTTCAGAAATCATTGGAGGGTTGAGAGTGTGGCTCAGTGGTAGTGTACTTACCTAGCGTGTGCTTGGCTCTGGGTTCAGTCTGAGATGAGCAGGCAGTAAACTGTGAGACCAGAGTCTAGGGGAGAGGTCTGCTTTGCACATAAAAATTTGGGAACCATCAACATTCGGACAGGCTGATGGAGAATAGAAAGGTTCCGAACAGTGAGCTATGTGAATAGTGAATACCAGCATTTAAGTTGGAGATATAAGGAATGGCTGGCAGTGTAGGAGGGAAACAGAAGAGTCTGATTACCTGGAAACTGTCTGAGGAATGGTCGAAAAAGATGTTATGATTGTAGTACTAGTGTATATATAAGAAAGTATGTAACTGATGTAAAAAACTTACCTACGTCAGACTTACAAAAGCCCCTTTGCTCTAGCTGATTTACTTGATAGAAGATACTCTCACTCTCCAAAGTGATAAACTCATTTTTCATCTACATTTGATAATTCTTAACAGTCTCAAGGGACTTGCAAGCAATAGTTCATTGAAAAAAGTAGAAATATCTACCATTAGGTTGAAGCTATATATTTCCTTTTATTAATATATTAATTTTTTTTTGAACCAAGAACTGAACTTAAGACCTTGTACTTCCCCCGCAGGTGCCATGCCACTGAGCTATACTCCATTAGTATATTAATTATCCAAAGAATATTGATGAAAATTCCCATTACACTTTAGTGTGTAACTTTAACTCTGTTAGAATTTCTGAAAATACGGTATTATAAGCAAAGGGGATAAAAATATATATATTATTTATATATATTTATATGTCTATACATTATATATTTTTACATATCTATATATTATGTCATATATATATATATATATATATTTAAAGATTCATATTTTAAGTAAGTAAATTGAAGGCCCAGGAGTACTATCTTTGCATTACACACACATTCACTATGTATATATGTACTATACATATTCACTATACATAGAATTTGCGGTGTCCCTGATACAACCTCAACAAGTAGCTTCAGTTTTAAGGAATCTCTCCAATAGAAAAAGATACCTGTTTAAATTTTGAGGAATCAATATGCATGATATTACATAGTGAGAAATACAGAAAAAATATACTTCAAGAATTTAGTAGCAGGAAAACCTTGATGGAAAAATGCCTTAAATGCTTGTAGTGCATAAAATGAAATACAAAGGTTCATTTTATGGAGTTGTGTTTAATACAAATCCTTTTTTTAATCTATATGGAAGCTTAAATGTAGATTGTGATATGCTTTGAGATAGTGATAGTAATGCCCTGTATGGTGTAGTTCCTTGAAGTCCTTTTATTCTCTCTAGTAAGAGGTGTTTTCAACTAGTTAGTTGACTTTAAAATGCAATGTAAAAAAATATAAACTTAGTAGCATACACATAAGTGATTGTTGGGCTCAGGAGTCTGCATGATTCAGCTGATACCTTTGGGGCTCCTGGTCAGCTCCAGCTTGGTTATGTGGTTCTGGTAATTTAGGGTTGAGTCATTCACTTGTATGGTTTTCAGTTTGTATGGCTTTCAGTTCTCTAAAGTGACTTCAGGTGAGACAGCTGTGGTGCTGCCCTGCCTTTCTGGTCTGTACTTTTTCTGCAAAGACAAGAGAGTGAGCCCACTAAGGGTAGTAGCTGGGGCCTGGTGATGGCAGAGAGCAGAGTTGAGCACTCTGCTTCACCGCATTTACCATGGCCCCCAGGGCCAAGCAAATGACAAGGCTGAGCCCCAGTAAGTGTCTGTCACAGTGTGGGAGCATTATCAGCAAATATTCTTTATTGTTGTCTATACTATAAATTTCTTTCTCTTGTGAAGCAGAGAATTTGATGTACATATCATATAAGGATGATATATGTGTACACATACCTACGAGCAACAAAAGCAAGAAAAAAGGAATCAATCCACCATCTTATTTCATAATATTGTATCATTGTATGTTTAAAATGTCAACAATGCATGCCTATATGGTGGTGGTCTCTCATTTTTATTGACTTTGACTTAACTGATGTGTTACCATATATGAGGATTTTTGAAATATTTTTAATACTGTTCCAGGTTGTTTTGCTGTGATACAGAGCTTTTTGGCTTCTGATTTTCTGGCTTTCATTGCTAGAACTCACAGAAATTTTATGTGAATAGCTCAAAATATTATAGAGGGCTGATTTTGTAAGTGGCATTCATTTACCTATAAAGGCATTTTAGCTCAGATGTCTCATAGCATTAGTTCATGCACTTCTGTAGGTGAACAATCACATCAAATAAGTGATTTTAATGTTTGCTTTCAATGGGTGGTGTTGTAGTTAGGGGCTGCAGGGAGAACAAGACACTGAGTACACATCATTGATAGTATTATTTTATGATGGTCACCTAGATGGTCAAATACAAGAAGTGCAGGAAATCTGTCCACACATTGAGACCCAAGGAGTCCAGCTTAGGGCCTGAATCCTATAGCAGTACCCTGTGTGAGTCCAGCTGAAGCCCTAGAGCCCATGGCAGTGCCTCCCACGAGTCCCACGGAGGTCTATAGAGTCCATAACAGTGACTCCCGTAAGTCTGTTTTATGGATCTGCACTGGTAAGGCCCAAAGGTCAGTGGTAGAGGATAAAATATCTATGCCAGTGGAGTGAAGAATCTGTGCCAGTGGATTGAGGGTTCTACACTGGAGCCAAGAAGCAACGCTCAAAGTACAGACCAGGGCTCCCCCACCAAAAGTACCACAGCCATCCTCAGCCCCAGTAAGGTCTGAATTCATATCAGGATGCCAGTGTGACAAACTTCTAGAGATTAAACAGCGCTCTTCTTCCCCTCTGTAGTCAGGAAGTGATGTTAACATAAGGACCAGAGTTCTCCCAAAGTGAACCGCAGCCACTCTTAACGACAAGGTCCTGAGCTCCTCCAATGGTAATGGCCAAATTCGTATCAGGGAAGCTGGCCATGAGAAGCTCCTCTAAGACAACCAATAGCTCCAAACAACACCACTTAGGAGAACCCACAGTGCCATGGTGTTTGTCTCCACATCCTTTTATGCTGGCAACTTTTATTTTTTCCACTTTGTTGAGTATTTTATCCAGTGCTGTTACTTCTCCCTAAAGAAAATAAAATTTACAAAACAAAGCATAAATCCAAAGCACCACCACCATACAGGCATGCATTGTTGACATTCATGTGATATTTTAAACATACAATGATACAGTATTATGAAATAAGATGTGGATTGATTCCTTTTTTCTTGCTTTTGTTCCTCATTTGTATGTGTACATATATCATCCTTTTATGCTGACCACCAGTTTTTATTCTACTACAAGCGCTTTTTAAGTTTGAGTAGGTTGCAAGCACTTTGAAGTTTTGATTCCTTGTTTCAAAGTAGATAGTTATAAGATTAATTATCCGATAAGAGTATCTTTTTAAAAGAAAGACCTCAGTATTTGGTGTAAATTTGCCGTGTGTTTGTTAAAGAATACAGTGTTAAAAGTACAAATGGGACCATATTTTTTCACAAGCTAATTTTGTATTTTCATCGCTGCTTTGGATTTATGCTTTGTTTTGTGAATTTTATTTTCTTTAGGGAGAAGTAATAGCACTGGATAAAATACCCAACAAAGTGGAAAAAATAAAGCAGAATGCTTTGTTGTTAGGACTGAATTCCATCAAAGCATTTTGCTTTGATGGAACAAAGGCACTTAAACATGATATGACTGAGGACACACAAGGTAAATTAAATTTTATTTTTTTATTTAGTGTAACTGACAAATCATCATTGTGTGTATTTGTGGATTACCCTGCAGTGTTTTGATACACAGTATGTATAAACATGGCATGATCAAAACAAGCTGATTAACACATCCATTATTTGTTTTTTGTGGTATTTGAAATTTTTGCTAAGCAGTCTTCAAATACATAATTCCCATTAACTGAAGTTGCCATGCTATGTAGCAGATTTCAACAATTTGTTTTTTCCTGTCTAGCAGGAAACCTCTACCTTTTGGACAGCACCTCCCTATGCCTGGCCTGTTCTCCCCATCTCTAGTAACCCTGTGCTGCTCTCTGCTTCTGTCAGGTTGACTGTTTTAGATTCTGCATATAACTGGGATCATACAGTGTTTATCTATTTGTTTGTTTTTGGTTGCTGCTTTATTTAACTCAGCATAAGGAACTCCAGATTCATCCATATTGTCACAAATAACATAATATCCTTTCGAAAAGGCTACTTGTGTGTGTGTGTGTGTGTGTGTACACCATTCATCTATGCCGGATAGTTGAGTTGACTTCATATCTTGGCTATTGTGAATAATGCTGTAAGGACCATGGGGATGCAGGTATTTCTTTGGCATACTGATTTTAATTTCTGTGCATATATTCCCACTGGTGGATTATATGGTCAGTTTATTATTAGTTTTTTGGGGAACCATACCATTTTCCATGATGATATAACTAATTTGCATCCTAGTAACACTTGAGCTGTCACCATTATGTTGTTTTTTAGCCATCTTATCATGCATAACATGTTATCCTGTGATGGTTTTGATTAGCATTTCCATAATTAGTGATGAGCATCTTTTGATGTACTGTACTTGTCACTGTCTTCTTTGGAGGAAATATTCTTGTCCTTTTCCCATGTTTTAATTGGATTGTCTTCTTATTTTCCAGTTATTTGATTTTTTTAAGTGTTTTGAGTAGTAGCCTCCTGTTGGATGTATACTTTGAAAATACTTCTTCCCACTGTGTAGTCAACTTTGCTGTGCAGAAGCTTTTTAGTTTGACATAATATCAGTTTTACTTTTGTTGGCTGTAATTTCAGGGTCATATTAAAAAATAATTGTCTAGAGTAGTGCTGTGAACCTTCTCTGTGTTTTTTCCTTACTATTGTATTTTACATTTTCCAGGTCTTTAATCCATTTTGAGTTTATTTTTATATAAGGCATGAGATAATGATTGCTTCATTTTCCACAGGCAGATACTCAGTTTTTCTAGCACCATTCTTTTGGTTGGTGTTGTAGATGAGATTATTTTCTTAATATTTGTGGAAAATATTAATGTGTGGAAACACTGCTGATTTTTGTATGTTAATTTTATATCTAGAAACTTTACTAAAATTTTTTATTAGGCCTAATAATTTTCCCATGGAATTTTTAAGTTTTTTTCTACACAAGATCATGTCAGTAACAGACAGATGGTTTCATTTCTTTCTCTCACCTAAACATTTTAGTACTTACAGTACTGTGTTGAAAAGCAGTGAGAGTAGACATCTTGGTTTACCCTCTATCTCAGAGAGAAGCTTTGAAGTTTTTACCATTCATTTTGTTATTATTAATGCTATGGGCTTGTTACAGCCTTCCTGTGCTCAGATATATTTCTTGTATAGCTTATTTGCTGAAACTTTTATCATGAAAAGGCTTTGAGTTTTATCCAGTGCTTTTCCTGCCCCTATTGAGATAATCAAATTGTTTTTGCCCTTTGCTCTGTTAATGCAGTACGTCACATTTATTTTGCTGATGTATATAGGAACTGTGCTTGCATCCCTGGAGTAAATGTCATTTGGTCATGTTCTAGATTCAATTTTTGAATATTTTGTTGAGGATTTTTGCAGGATTTTGAATATTTTTGAATATTTGAATATTTTCAATTTTTGAATATTTTGTTGAGGATTTTGTGTTTATGAAGGATATTGAAGTAATTTTCTTCTATTCTGGCTTTTGTATTGGGGTAATGCTGGCCTCATAAAATAAATTTGGAAGAATTCCTTCTTCGGCTTTCTGGAAGAGTTTCAGAATGACTGGTATTAGTTTTTCTCTATAAACGATTAGTAGCATCCACTAGTGAAGGAATCAAGTCATAGGTTTTTCTTTATAGATTGAGTCTATTTATTTAGATCCTTGGTTTCTTCATGATTCAGTCTTGGTAGTGGTTTCATCTAGGAATCTGTTTCTTCTGGGTTACCGAGTCCATTGTTGTATAATTGTTCGTAGTAGTTTTTTATAATCTTTTGCTTCTGTGGTATCGTTTGAATTTTTTGTCTAGTAATTCATAGATAGGCATTCCTTGAGTTGTGAGTTCCTGGTACTTTTTGCTTTGTTCCTTTGTTGGTGCCATGTTTCTCTGTTTGTTCTTAATCCTTCTGGCTATGGATTTGTGTTTGCATATTTCAAGAAGCAGGGATTTACAGTCTTTGCAAACTGGCTTTATGTAGGAATGAGCCTTCCAGCTCATCTGTCCATTTTGAGAAACTCAGATCACACTGTCTGTGAGCTGTTTTGCTGCTGGAGTCACTGGACAGGGTGATCCGATACCTTGGGTCAGCCCATGTAAAAACTGGACCCACGGTGGTGGACCTTCAGGTCAGAAGTGCATCAGTTGTTCTAGAACCTATAACAACACAAGCTTCCCTGAAGATGATGTAGAACTGGATGACTGAGCTTGAGTACAGGCTATTGCCCGGGGCTAAGATAGTCTTGGTTCCTGAGTCCACATGGGGCTAATCTGTCAGTAGGTTGGGCCTGCAGCTTTAGTCAGGGCATTGGGCAGGTCCCTAGGGTTGGCCTGAAGTTGCAAGTGACACTGGTGGTCCTAGAGGACTGACGGGGAACTTATGGCATGCGTTCCATGGCAGGCATGCAGAACCCTCTCTCAGTGTGTGAGCCAAGTGTATGAGTTGTTTTTTCTAAACTGAAACATCAGTGTTTGGGTTTAATTACAGTGTTGGGACTTTGCCACAAATATTTAAGTTTTGGGTTGCAGTTTGGACACTTGGTTTCTATAAGGTTCACCATCACTGTCCTAGAGCCTCAGTGTGTGGGGTCCTCCCCAGCATCAGAGGTTAATAGGGCAGGACTGGATTTTTTGTCCACTGGAACAGGCCTGGAACCTGGGCCCACTAAAGTGGACTTGGAACAGGAACAAACATAGACTCTGGATTTGTGGGGATCAGTCTGACATCTGCGATCATAAGTGCTCCTCTTGTACCTGAAACCATAGTGACTAAGCTAGAGTCTGGTGCTAAAGGTACTGACAAGGAGTCAGAATCCACAAAGTCTGTTTGATTCCTGGTTTAAAAAAAAATCCACAAAGTCTGGCTTAGAGTTTGGCTTAGAGTCAGGTACTGGCCTGGTGGCTAGGTCCATAAGGTTTGACTTAGGTCCTGGCTGCACGCAGCCAGCCTAGAACCTGGATGCTCAGGGTGTTCCTGTTGCTCTGCGGGAGCAAGCTGAGGGTCTGGGGCTACTTAGACTGGCCTGGAAGGTGGGGCTGTGGCTGCCTGATACTTGGTTTGATGAGGATGGGGCTGGTAATAGAATATGCTCTTGATGACTTTGCTTTCCTTCCCCCAAGCAGAGGATTTTTCTCGATTCTGTGTTGCCTGGGGTTGAAGGAGAAGTGATGTAGGTGATGTAAAAGTGTTTCTCCTACCCTCTTTGATGTGTCTTTTCTTATAATAAGTCTCAAATAGGGCAGACAGAGGATATGCCCAAATACAGACAAAAATACAAATGACCAATAAATCAAAACCACGTTTAATGAAGACTGGGAGAAACAAGTATACATAAAATTTAAGGGTAGATTGATGTAGCGTTTCTAGTGGGTTTTACCAGTATATGTCCAAAAAATAATTTCTTAGGAATTTCTTCAAAAATAATAGATAAGAGAGCAAAGATGGTTACAGAGGGAGATGAGGTAGATAATTGCTTTTATCTAATAGCTTTGAAATCAGAAAAAAACAGATGACATTAGGGTGAAATTTGAAATGATGCTGTAGGTTCTATAGGAACAAGTAACTTTAAATAAAAATGTCTTACTTGTAGGGATCATATAAAGATATGTACAGACCATTTTGTTTCATGAGTTCTCCAGATCAGGAATTAGACTAATTTGCAATTAGAATAATTGCAAAAATTATTCCAGTGAATGCACAGGGTGCTCTGTGGAGGACTGAATCCAGGCTCACTGTGGTCCACAACCAGGGTGATACTGACAGCAACAAGGAGACCAAGGAACAATAGAGTGAGAGCCACTACCTGACAGACTCATTTTCTGGAGCTGTCCCCAGTACGAGTTACCAAGAGAAATCAATTCCTAAAATAACTAGAATTAATTCTGAGTCTTAGCTCTGATGAACTATGGTTTCTAAAGTAGGGAGTGTAGGATCTCATTTGATTGCATCTAGGTTTATACTATATTAAGGAAAAACCCAACAGTAATACCCATACTTTTATGGATGGCATGGTGGCACATGCCTGTAATCCCAGCACTCAACAGGTTGACTCCTGAGGATTGCTGTGAGTTTAAGGCCAGCCTGGGCTACATAGTGAGTCAAGGCCAGTCAGAGCTATATAGCAAGACCTTGTCTCAAAACAAACAAGCAAATTCCACATTTTTAAACTTTTGTTCAAACTCAAATCTATATTAAACATAAGTCAATCTTAGCTTTACTGGGTGCCTCAAGGGAATCATTATTTTTTATCCAAAGCAATACTTTGATCTATTGTTTTGGTTTTTTTTTTTTTTTTTTTTTTTTTTTTTTTGCTTTTGGTAGTACTGGGAATTGAACCCAGAACCTTCACACTGAATTAGAGCCACAGCCTTTTTATTACTATGGAGTTTGAGACACGGTCTCCTAAACCACAGCATTAAGATCCTGGTTGTTGCTTATATCTGGAGTTTTCTGTTCTAGACCAATATGACAATTAGCAAATATTTTTATATTCGCTGTATAGAAGGACCTCCATTCTCACCAGAATCTTTTGACCGAATTCTCCTTGATGCACCCTGCAGTGGAATGGGACAGAGACCAAACATGGCTTGTACTTGGACTTTGAAGGAAGTGATGTCATATCAGCCACTACAGCGAAAACTCTTTTCTGTGGTATGTGATGATCTTTTGCTGTGAAGGATGTTGACCTTGGGTAGTTTGAAGTTTAAGCCACTGGGGGCAGTGTTCAGAGTAGTGTTATTCACAGTAGCCAAAAGGTGGAAACAACCCGCAAATCCATTAACAGAGAAATGAATAAACATATCCATACATGGAAGATTATTCACCCTTAAAAAGAGGTGAAATTCTGACATAGGCTCTAATGTGGATGAACGTTGAAGCATCAAATAAGCCAGACATAAAAGGAAAAATGTTTTATGATTCCACTTATATAAGGGCCCTAGAATGACAAATTCATAGGAAGTAAGCTAGAGGTCACTAGTGAGTAAGGGATGGGGAGTGGAGATTAGGGGGTTCCTGGTGTGGTTACAGAGTTTCTGTCTGAGGTGAGTTTCTGTTAGAGATGACGAACAGTTCTGGAGACATGTAGAAGTGATAGCTGCACAATGCACTTAATGCCTTTTGAATTACACACTTAAAATGGTTAACATGATGTTTTATGTTATGTATATTTTATTTCACACAAAAGACTGAGAATGCCTAATTTAAATACAGAGAGTTTTCCTTTGTGTCAACTCACCCTTTTTGTATTTTACTTACTTTTTAGTACTAAGGCTTAAACCTAGGGCCTTTGCACTGAGCTCCATCCCAGCACTGTGTAAATTTGTAACTTTGAGACAGGATCTCATTAAGTTACTTAAGTTGTGCAGGCTGGGTTTGCATTTGCATATCTCCTAACTCAGCCTCCCAGAGTGATGGGCTTATAGGTATGTGGAACCCAGTAGTGTATCCTTTCAAATACAAGACGATGGTGAAATTTCTTCCTGAATTATGTAATGAATTTCAAACATTGTGGTCTGTGTTTTTAAAAAAGTGAATGGTTCACACAGTTAGTAACTGACATAAAGAATTGATGCAAAATGAATTGTTTTTTATTGGGCTCCTGAGTCAGCTGATGACATTAAATGTAGAAAGTCAATGAGATGCAAAAGATTACAGTAGTGAATAGCAGCATCCAGTAAAAGGGCCATAAAAACTTTGACAATTAACTGATTTCCAGTGTGTGTTAGAAAAAACCCAGATAAAACACTCTATTTCTGTGATTTCACTGAGTATAGACACCCTTTGATCAAAGATGAATTCATTATTTCTTCTTAGCCATTCAATTATAAATACGTAGACGAACACAACAATGGGTGTACTGTAATTATTTTGTCTCTTAAGTTGTCCTTGGGTACATTTCTATGCATCTCTCCTTTCCAAGTTCACAAAAGTAGCCACTCCTTGTGGATTGTGTAACATTTTTTCGGTAGTAGTCAGAAAATACATAGAGTTAGAACAGCAGGCAGCAAACAGGAAGTTTTACATATACCTGCAAGCCACCTGGATTTAAGAGTGAAATTAAGATCCCAGTTTAAGGGACTTGGGTTTTGTTCTTTTTTAGGGTATAGCAGAGAAGGAAATTTTAAAAGATTCTAGAGATAGATTTATGATTTCAATAAAAAGGAATATCTGACCTGTGAGAAACAACGTGACTATAGCAGGTGTGCCACTGGATGAATACAAATTGAAATGGAATGTGCATTATTTAGTTGGACACATCTTGATTTGAGCCATGGCTTCTTCACCTAAGTGACTTTAGTTATGCTGATTTCAAATTCAGAGAAATGAGCATAAGGACTCAACCTAATAGGAACTGCACTGCAAATAGTAATCTTACCTCATGGTTGTTACAAGACTATCAATGAAAAGTATTTAATAAACAAATTTATACAAATAAATAATAACAAAGTTTAAATTTCTCTAGTGTGAAGAAACCACAAACATTTATGCTAAATTTTAAAAATAAAATATAGGTATTTGAGACAAATTCATGCTAGTTTAGCACTTTATTTGCTGATTTATTTGCTTGACACCGAGCGCCTGCTGTATGCAAGACATCACGCTATGATCGGTGTCAATAACACAGAAGTAAAAAAGTCGACAAATGATTCATACCCCTGTTTTCTGAGTTTTCCATCTCGGGTTGTTGGGGAGAGTGAACAAGTGAGTGAGTTGTTCAGATTATGACAGGCCCTGAGCTAGGAGCCTGCGGAGAGAACCAAAGCAAGGCAAGTGCGGTAGCAGTGCTGGACTGTAGTATTTGGGATGTCACACAGGGTGGTCAGGAGGAAGGCTGCTGTAAGGGGACATGGAGCAAAGGTGACCTGCGAAAGGAGTACGCAGTGTGGAGAAGGAGTGTCCCAGAGTTCCAGCCGGGCGAAAGATCCCGAGGTGGGGCGAGCCTTGCCGAGTTCCAGAGACAGCCGGAGGCCAGTGGCTCTAAAGCAGGACACGAGGTACTGTAGAGGAAGCCAGCAGGCAGGCCTCCGGAGGACTTGCAGCCTCTCTAAAGACTTTTGGCTTTGACGCTGGGTGGCAGTGGAAGGGCACTGGAAGGGTGTCAGGCTAAGAGGTGACCAGTGGGACGCTGCACTGCACTCTGGCTTTGGATTGAGAATAAGTGGTCAGAAGACAGGAGGGAAGCAATAAACTAAGTAGGAGACTGTGTGAGTCCTCTAAGAAATGAGGAGGGCTGCACCAGAGTACTGGTGGAGGCTGTGAGAGAACCTACAGGATTTGGGGACGCGTGGCGAGTGTGAGAGGCATGAAGTAGAATCTGGGCTGGCGCTGCCCACCTCGGAAGGATGGGAAGACTTCCACGATAGGTTTCGGAAGCCGCTTCAGACAGCGGCTCATTTTGGGACATGAAGTGTTGAGGAGGCAGCTGAATATGAGTGTGGAATTCAGAAAGAAGGCGTGGCCTAGCAATGTGAACTTCCCAATTTTTGAAATAAGGTTGCTGTCTGAGTGGATGAAACTCTGGTGTTTGAGAATCCTGGTCCAAGTGAAGCACGAGAGCGCTAAGGCGGGAAATGCAGCTGATCTGGGATGCAAGGATTGTGCTCTGCTTACCTACCATGGAGAATGTCGTTCTTCGTTTTATTTCTCAGCTACTTGTAGGTGTCACCCTTTATGCTGTAAAGTCCCTTCACTTACGTGGCCTTGTGGTGTACAGGACTGACTTAGTTCTCTCTAGGCAGCCCAGCTGCTGAAGCCAGGAGGCATGCTCGTTTATAGCACGTGCACTATCACCCTGGCAGAAAATGAAGAGCAGGTTGCCTGGGCCCTCAGCACATTTCCTTGCCTCCAGCTTCAGCCCCAGGTAAGAGTGGTTTCAGTTTTTCTCTGTGCAGAGTGACAAATTACAGAAGTGGAAGTGTGGTGATAGGCGCTGGGTGTTACATGCTGAAATATGTGAAGTAAAACTCATGAAACAAATACCTTAGTAAACAAGAACATTTCTCCTTTTAGATCACTTTTAGATGGCCACAGGGAATTTGCATGTTGGCGACAGACTGTTTTCCCCTTATGTTTTGCCATTATGCTGAAATGACACAAAACTTGGGTGATTTTTGTTACGTGTTTATTCTACTAATAGCTGTCTTTCATAGGACTTGGCATTTGGGTTTCAAAGTTGTTTTTCCTCATTTCTAATCCCATATTTTTCTCCTAACAATATATATCAAGTATTTTTGTCTCAGGTCACATCTAAGCCCAAACCTATTTCACTAACTGGAATATCCAAAGACCAAAAAGGCCGGTGGAGAAGGGAAATGTTGAGGATTATTGCTTTTTTATAATTTGTTATATAAAAACCTAAGCTTTAAGCTTTCTTGTACTTGGCACTAATCTAATTTTATGATTCCGAAGACTACTTATGATTCAATTTTAAGCCATAGAAATAAGTAATCCAGAAATGGTTTCTAGACTCAGAAGCCCTAGATGAAGGGAAGACTTCAGAATTCACTTAGAATTCATACTGAAATGTCAATCTGTGTTCTTAAGTACATATCTGAAAACCTATCTTTATTAATACATAAACGTGTGGCTGTGAGTGATGACTCAAGTTAGTTATGGATCTTTTGTACTTGTGCTTTGCAAGGACCACTGAATTTGTTTGGATTCCATATAACTCAAAGCTAATGGATATAGCCTTAATTTATTGATCCTTCACTAATACGTGTTCTCCAAGGACATGTAAAACCAATTGGATGGGTCAGAGAAACGCATTTTTGATATTTGAAGAACTTTTTTCAGAAGTGTGAAAAGAACTAAGTAAAGCTGACTTTTATCTGTTACTTTATGGATAATAATGTTCCATTTACTGCATTCTCAGTGTACCCCAGGCATGATGCCATCTCTCTATTTTAGTTCAGAACTTAGCATTTTATCTGTTTTATAGATCTGAAAAGTTGGGTTTAGATAGAGTTACCTACTTAAGATCACACAGCAAAAATTTGACGGAGCTGCAGTTTCAGTTCAGGGTTTCTAACTGGAGTTCAGGCCTTTTACAGTGTCACCCAGTACCTGGTAAGCATGCAGGACGTAAATGGTCTTCCTTTCGTTGCGTGAACACATAGTACCGCTTTTCTGTTCTACCACTCAAAAGCATCATGTACGTTCCACAAAGTAAAAGCATTTACTGTTCTCTGTTTTGGACGATGTGATAGGTTTAACTCAGTTTGTCTCTTTTTTTGTTTTTGTTTTGTATTTTTGAGACAAGGTGTTACAATCTAGCCCAGGCTGGCCTTGAACTCACAGTAGTTCTCCTGCTTCAGCCTCCAGAGTGCTGGGCTTATAGTCATGCACCACCACCCCCCGCTTTTAGTTAATCTTTTAATTTAATTGTTAACATGTGGCAGGGACAGCATTCATCCACCTGGTTTTCTCCTAATAGGAGCCACGGATTGGAGAAGAAGGGATGATGGGAGCTGGCTTATCACTTGAACAGTTGAGACAGCTGCAGCGATTCGATCCATCTGCTGTGCCATTACAGGACCCTGACCAGGATGCTCTTAGAGATGCCACAGCAGAAGACATGATCCGGCTGGCAAATAAGGATTGTATAGGTTTTTTTATTGCAAAATTTCTAAAATGGAAAAGCACATCAGAGAAGGATCCTCAGAAATGAAAATTCCACATCCTTGCTTTCTGTTCTATTCCCCTCATATCTCTTAAACCAGAGTGACATCAGGCCACCTAAGGATAGTATGGTTGCCAAGGAAACAGGAGATGGCCGGTGGTTTCACCAGGACTGCCAGTGGTTTCATCAAGACAGAGAATTGTGTGTATGGGTGGGGGTTGTGAAATTATGTTCTGGATTGAAAAAATGTTTTCTAGGATTCAGTAGTGTATAAAGCAAAGGAGCTACTTATGGATGCCTGTAACATTTTCATTTGGGGTCTTGTTTTAATTAATAAAGAATAATACTAAAAATTAGTATTTAATATGGTTATGAAAAATTATTTTGTGTTCTCAAGTTTCTAAGTAGTTATTTCCTTAAGAACTAAGGCTTGGAAAGTATAATATAATATTTACCATGTGCCAATAACTTGAGGTAAGTATTTTACTTGACTTTTTATTGTACATTAACCCTCTTTTAAATGAAGTCAGGACCTCTTCTAAATGATAGTCTTGAAACCAGAAAGTTGAATATTGTCCTTAGTTGTACATAAAAGTGAAAATCTTCCACGTTTGGGTACTTTGAGCCTGTGCTGGAATGCCGAGGCAAGTTGCTAGAAAATACTCAATGAGAATGAGAAAACCAGCTTGTGACACTCACAACTGTCCCGGCACTCTCACAGCAGGGCTTGGTGTTCGTTTCTCAACAGTGCCAACCTCAGCTATGATGACTGACTATGAGAGATTAAAATCTAAGTGCAGACAAACCAAGCACATCATCCAAGCAATAAAGGGACCAAACATCCCTCCGTGGTGGCCAGTGTGTCTGTTTTTAAAACTTAATTGTAGCCTCATGCTTGTTCTTTCCTTTTACCTGCTTTTTAGGTAAGATCTGTTAAAATATCCAGTGCATCCCCCCCAAGAGAGTAATGAGAACTGAGGAGTAATAAAATCCAAAATGTATAAATTTTGTTATAAAAAAGAGAGGGAGGGGAAAAAAAAAAGAGCTCTAACGGATATAACAACAAGTGTGTTTAGGGATGTTAAATAGCTGACTATATTAATGTTTTTGGATCATTGAACACAGCTGTTTGCAGTCTCTCCGTTTGAATGTCTACTTTGTATTCTTTGATACTGTGATTTGAGCAACTATTTCCAAGATGATATTATGTAATCTATTAACAGGTGATTTCTTACTGTTATGTTTTTTTTTTTGTAGTTATGTATTATGTGTAACCTTACACTGCTTTGTTCTGTTTTGTGTTTTTCTCTTTTTCCTCTTAAATAAAAAAAAAAAAAAAAAAAAAAAATATCCAGTGCAGCTATAGATTAAAGGCTATAAACACCTCAGACTACGTTGTTGGTTTTCATTCAAGTCACCCAAGTTACTGGGCCTTGGATGTATGAAGTAGAAAGTCAGAATCAGTTACCTAATACTAGTTTAATTTCCTCTTTTCCTCATAGGTTTTCTTTAAGAACTTCTCAAATGACTTACTGTTGCCAAAAGATCAAAAGGTCTTGTATGTGACGTAAGATCCTTTGAGAGCTTTTCTGGTACACTAATCTCTGAGCTTTATTTACAGCTTTGGTACCTGTATCTTCTCCTATCATGCCCCTTAAGACATTGTTCACCAGTCAGGCTCCTGGAGTCTCACCACCATGCTTCGAAAGCATCCTGGACGCAGAGAGCTTTAGTTTTCTATTTTTAATAGCATGAGAGAAAAGTTCCTGCGAGCTTCATGAGATTCCGATGGTTTCTCTGCATCCTTCATCCTGCCTGTACATCTTAATAAATGTCATTTGACTAAGCAGAAACTGTCTACCTGTGGGCACTTGTGTTTTCAGAGCTCAGCCTACTTCCTCAGATTTAAATGTCTTATAAGAAACTGCAGAATCTCTTTCCTTTTATGTGCTGGGCGAGGATGAAAACAGTGGGAAAGCAGCCTGGCAGCAAATTTGCGTTGTTTATTTTGGGTAAGTACCAGCAAATGTGAAGAGATGAACAGTGATAGGGAACAGAAAGAGTTTGCGCATTTAAAACAAAAGAAAAAGAACCTTGTTGAAATTTTTTCTTTAACATGCTCAATTTTCAGTGAGTTTCATCGCCATTTTTAAAACAGCAGAACCACAGTAGACACTGCTTCTCTTTGATCAAATGATACTTGCAGGCCTGAGACAGAGTGAGAGACTCAAGTAGTCACTTGCATCTTTTACAGCTAGAAATAGTTTTTCTGCCATAGAATCTGTTACCTGCTCAGAAATGGTGACAAAAAGTAAACAACTTGGAAAATAAAACACGTACTCATGGAACACAGAAATGTAAAAACAAGTGCATTAAAGAGGAAAATCCAGTAAATGCAAGGAATTAATGTATGTCTCTACATTGTTTTAATATTTGTAAGAAAGCAAAAATATTTAAATTCAACAGTGAATACATTTTATTCAACTCCTTGTGTTACATTTTAGTTTTCTTTTCCTTCCTTCCTTCCTTCCTTCCTTCCTTCCTTCCTTTCTTTCTCTCTGTCTTTTTGAGACAAGGTCTTGCTATGCAGTTCACGCTGGCCTTGGGCTCACATTGTAGTCCAGGTTGGTCTCAAAACTTGCGTATGATCCTCCTGTCTCCACCTCCCAAGAGCTGGGATTGCAGCAGTGGGCCACCATGCCCAGCTTGTTACGTTTTAAATAGCAAAGTGCAGCACAAATAAAAATATACTTTGGCAGAAATTAAAGCTGGCCCAGAATCCATGGTAGTTGCCTGTTTTGTTTAATAGTATGCTCCTACTTTAATGGCATCATGCATCCCAAACTAGTAACAGTACATCACAGAACAGAGGGGAGAGGATGAGCTGAATGTGTCACTAGGATGGGCTTCATTTTAAAAATGAAAATTCAAAATATGAATAATTGTTGCACAGATAAGGTGGAACACGCTTACTGAAGCTCATATTTTTAAAAAATCTTTTGTTTTCCTTGAGTTCCTTTTTTTTAAGTCAGCTATGAGAAGATTACTGAAGGAACATCAGCTGGTTATACGTGAGATGAACCACCAGTCGTAGGTGCTGGGAAATATGTCACATTCTGAATCTAAAGGTCACTCCTTGAGAATTAATACTACTAATAAACAGTGCAGAAGGCTCTTTATTCATTTTACATGAGTGACTTGAAACCAGGTTTGTTAAACAGCTCACTGTAGCTGACAGTGAATGTTTAGCAGGAATGTGTACCAGGCTCTCATAATGTTGTCCCCAAGTACAGTATGACTAAGGCATCCTACATTTAGCAGCACCTCTTTCTAACATCAAGTTAAAAGAGAAATAGAGAAAGAACGTAGGAAGAACTGCAGTGGTTTTGACAAACGATTAAGTACACTTCTACAAAGGAGTATCTGAAGAGTAAGCCTTTGCCCTGTGAAGACTGTGTGTCATTCCACATATGCTTGGGTCATTTCTTCTTTTGTGGGTTCACTACGTCCTGTTTACACACTGACCCACTGGTAGTCTTCACATGCTGGCGTAAATGTTCTGTATCAAATCCCTCATGGAGTTATTTGGTGAATAGTCTGGTTTGCACTAACACGTCTGCAGTAATGTGAGAAACTTAAGAATCAGGCACAAAATTAAGAAGACGGACTCTTATTAGCACTGTCTGTGGCTGCTTTGCTTTGTTCTGTTTTTTGGTACGGGGACTCACACTCAGGACCTTGCACTACCGGGCGGCCGCTGTGCCCCTGAGCTGTATCCCTGGCTCTTAGCACGGCCCTTTGAAAGGGGTTAATGGTAGCAGCAAGGAGGATCCATACTGGTTGTATTTAGATGGGAAATAACACATGAGGAGAAGGGTTGGACTGATGATCAACATCTTATGGTGAGAGTTTATGCAAAATGTTATATAAAAGCAATTTTAGTTGAAATGTGGTTACAGTTTTCTGATGAGGTAAAATTTTGCCAGAAATTAATGACTGTTTTATACTCTGTAGTCGTATAGACAGTAGTGAGATAACTGGTTCTAAGAGAAATTTTTCATATATTAGCTTGTAAAACACTATGTATAACTTGCTTTTTAAATTTTACTGTCCTCAGTGTGGAAAAATCATTAAAAATGTGAAACTTTTAAAAGTCCAAGAATATTGGACAAGAACCTGGGGCGGTCAGAGTAAGCAAGACATGGTGACACCATAAGCAGTTATTTGAGGAATGGAGATGGTGTTCTAGGTTTCCCTTCAGAGTAGATGCGTGATGTTGGAAAATATTATTTGACTCACTCTAAGTCTCCCCATTTTGTCCTGGTACCGCCTGAAGAGCAGAAATGTTGGTTAGAAGAAGCACTTCTGTGTTCTTACAGACAGGGAAGCTGGTCAAGCTGGTGATGTGGAGGAACAGCAGGTAACTGGGGGGTGCGCAGCAGGAACAGTAGGCAAGGTTAGAGAAGGGGCTGGGAGGAGTTAGGAAACAATTCCATAAGCGTGTAAACGTCTCTTACTAAAACAAATACTTGAACACAAAGATTGTACCTTTCCAGTGAGACCCTCACGGTACAAATCACCTGTAGTTACACAATAACAAGGAGACAGCAGATAAACTTTCCTCGTTACCTGTGGCAGAAGGCTCCCTTGCATTCTCTGACTGCTCAACAAGTTGGCAAAACAGCACACAGCACAATTACGTCCAAAGCCAGGAGGGCGGAATTCTAGATTTAAGTCTCTTAGTTCTTCATTAATCTTCAGCATTCCACTTACACACTTATGCACAGACACACATGCACGTGCATACAGTGGGGCCAGTGCTGTGACTATCAGGCACTAGCTACTAAGAACACATTTCTCACAATCAGTGTGAAATGCATGGAATAGAACAATCTGAGGAGTTTGGTTATATTAACATAATGTATGGTTAGAATTATAAACACAAGGATGGTACAATGTTCAGAAATGGAAACTTTTGAAATCAAGCAGTCACACATATTTACAATATTTACAGGCTTTCTAGTGGAGCAGAAAGAATGTCTAGGCAATGTTATTGCAGATTTTCTGAATGTGGGCATCTCTAGTCCCTGTAATTCATAAAGTTAATCTGCTGACTTGGCATTAAGACTAAAATAGTGTGATCAAATATATATTGAAATAGGTTTGCAGAAATAACATTTACAAACTGTACAGTACACGTATGAGGACATAGAAAATAGATTCTAACTTTATGATCCCATTTATGTAAGGCAAGACTGAATCTGTTCCTAGTTTAGTCAGCCAGAGGTACAAGCAAGAAACAGTGGTCCATGAATAAATAAATGAATATGCTCATCAGGTATCTCAGTATTAAAAATCTGGAGA